CATTAGCTTGTGTTGTTTTGAATACTTTATGATCTTTCACCATTAGCTTGTGTTGTTTTGAATACTTTATGATCTTTCACCATTAGCTTGTGTTGTTTTGAATACTTTATGATCTTTCACCATTAGCTTGTGTTGTTTTATTTTCTTCGAGATCTTTTGTCATCAACTCCCAGATAATAGTACATTCTTAATGTTTTGTAGGTAGAGCCAGCCTGGTCCTGCGTAACGGCCAGGAATTGTAGGTTTTTTATATCATTACTTACATTAAAAGCAACTGGTACATATAAATGCTGTGATTAGATAAAGAAACATATTACAATAAACAAACCTGAAGGAAAGGATCACTGACACCTGACACATCGTGTTCTGGAGAATATCCAGCCATTATGAGGTTCTTCAATATTCTTACGAGGTTCGGAACAAGCTAGAAATAATCCATCTTTTACAATTAATTGAATTAACACTGCTTGCAAGTTTTAAATGAACAATTTTGTTTTTTTTATGATGAACCCAATCTTTTTTAATTAGGACAACATACCTGCTAAAACCAAACTACAAAATAAAAATCTTAATCTTAACATAAAACTAGCATTTACGGTCAAGATGACCACAGTATTATCTGCTTCGAGTTAAAATGGTGTAATGCTAGTGAAATCTTGAGAAGGGAAGCCATCAAGAAAGGGTTAAATTTCAACATTTAGAATATGAATTATCAGTTTTATTACTTCGTACTCTCACAAACAGTAGTAATGCTAGTGAAATCTTGAGAATCTAACAAATTATAGCCCACCTTTTTAAAATGTTGAAGGGTATCAGGACTCCTGGAGCACATCTCAGTAATAAGAATAACCCCTGTGATTAACACCCCTAAAAATAACACATTCACAGATATATATAAAATCTAGATAGCTCTAACAAAACTCAATTAGATTTAGTTACAAAATCTTTACATGCTATGAATTTTCTGAAGTAATCCATAAACCAGCAAAGTTTTTACAACAAAAGTAATGTGATCAATTTTGTTCTATAATATAGTCAGTTACTAAATTACTCTGAAATATAACTAGTAGTGAGTAGTTTGAATTTCTTAAGCAAATCTTTCTATAGTCATAGTACTTTTACCGTACACAAACAAATCTTTATACAGTCACAGTGATTTTACTGTACACAAACAAATCTTTACACAGTCACAGTGATTTTACTGTACACAAACAAATCTTTATACAGTCACAGTGATTTTACCGTACACAAACAAATCTTTATACAGTCATAGTGATTTTACCGTACACAAACAAATCTTTATACAGTCATAGTGATTTTACCTTACACAAACAAATCTTTATACAGTCATAGTGCTTTTACCGTACACAAACAAACCTTTATACAGTCATAGTGCTTTTACCATACACAAACAAACCTTTATACAGTCATAGTACTTTTACTGTACACAAACAAATCTTTATACAGTCATAGTGCTTTTACCGTACACAAACAAATCTTTCTACAGTCGTAGTGCTTTTACTGTACTTAATGCATTTGTTCAATAATAATAATTTTAAAATATTATCAACATTTTGGAACTTGGTTTTTTAGACTTTTGGTGACATAATAGGCAGAATTCCATTTCTTTGATAAGGTTTATATATAACTCAATCCCATAGGTTAAAATGATAAGGTATCTTAACAAGCAAACAACACCTACCATGGTTTTTTTCAGTAAGTAAAGACCGTGTGGCTGGAATGAACATTTCCATTAGTTCTGGTACTTTTCTGATGATTCTGAAGGCACACAAGGCAGCCTGTATGTAAACATTAGGGGTAAAAATGCTGATAAAATCGTAGTAATCACAAATGTCAATTACACACACAAATAATATATATAACTGATGCAATATTATTATACTTTTTAAAATTAGAAAAAATCATAAGGAAAAATAATCAAAATGATATTGATATCTTATCTATAATGTGACATTATAATATTTTAATATTTAACATATTCCAAAGATAAAAAAAGCTGGTAGAGGGAGCCAAAAACAAAATAATTCAAGTTTTTTTTTATAGCTCAAAAATTGTAATTCAACTAGTATTCTTGTGGTACTGTGAAGTACAAACAAAAGTTATAATAGTTGATAATCCAAAAAAATAGAGAAAAAGCATTTTAAGATGTACAATTCATTCTTGTTTAAACACATTAACATTCAGTTGGCCTCAAGAAATGATTAAATTCAATTTTAAAAACTCCAATAGTATTGATCTGCAGAGAAAAAAGCAACACGGGTGTAGTGAGGTAATTGTTGTAGTACCAAAATAAAACTAACTAATTAAAGTATTACAAGTCATCAGGTCAGGAAGTGAAGTCAGAATCAAGTATTTCAAGTCATCAAGTCAAGAGGTGAAGTCAGAATAAAGTATTACAAGTCATCAGATCAGGAAGTGAAGTCAGAATAAAGTATTACAAGTCATCAAGTCAAGAGGTGAAGTCAGAATAAAGTATTACAAGTCAAGAGGTGAAGTCAGAATAAAGTATTACAAGT